CGGGGCGGCCGCCGGCGCCTCCTCCGTACCCCAGGCCTCCCCGGCCGTTTCCCGCTGCACCACGAGCGGAGGCAAGTCCCTTGGCGCGGCCGTCGGTTCCGGCTCCGGGTCAGAGTCGGTCTCCGCGGCCTCTCCGGCCACCCGCAGCCCGGTGGGGCGGCCGCGCGTCGGGCCCGAGGGGCCGAGGTAGAGCTCCTCCTCCTCCGACGAGGACGCCGAGAGCTCCGAATCCGTCTCGGCCGCCTCTCCCCGCACCACCGTCTCGGGCCTCCGCGGCGGCCTCCGCCGACGACCCTGAGAGGCCATGGCACAGAGCTACGGAGAAAAGGAGGGACCGCGTGACGCGGCGCCCGGCGGTGGTTAAAAGGCGCATTTTCTGGATTCCCAGCCCCTCCACTATCACAGCGATTTGGGAGCATCTGCTTCCCATGCCTGGGCCCTGTTTTCCTCTTCTGTGAAAGCGACTCATCATCCCTGCCTGCGCTGATCGGGGCTACTGGACCCCCGCCTCTTCAGTGTACTGATAGGGAAACTGAGGACCAGCTCGACCAAGACTCTGAGGCCGCAGTTCCCAGGGTCCCAAACTGGGCTCTTTCCGATTTTGCCTCCTAGCAGAGGCCACACCTGGAAGCTGCTCACACGGGCTCCAGGAACTGCTCAGGGACCTGTGCCAGGGCCATAGGAGTGACAGCCCAGCTGGACTCGGGAGGGTCCACTCACTAGTGGGGACAGACGGTAGCGCTATCACCGAAAACCGTACCGGGTCGAGAAAGCTCGGAGCCTGCGGGATGCGGTACCCAGAGGAAGTGCGGCGTCTGGACGGAGGGAGGAGTGGCAGCCCGAACCAATAGGGCAGCAGGTTGGACGGACGTTGGCCAATCACGTGGGCCGGTCGGCCACCAACCAGGCAGCAAGCCGTCCTCGGGGCCCACTTTGTGGGCGGGTGTAAAGGAGTACAACCAATAGAGAAGCGTTTTAGCTGCGCTTCCGGGTTGTGCTGCGAGGCAAGTGGACAAATAGGGGTTTTAAAAAAACGAGTTATGTCACGTGTAATCAGCGATTCGGCCAATGGCTATGCTGGAGGACCCCAAAATGGACCGCGGTCTCCCAAGTTCACGCGCGCGCCGCGTGAGCCCGGGGAGGGAGGCGGGGCTAGTCCGGAAGAGCAAGGGAAGCGAGAGTAGGCGGGCTCGCGGCTAGAAGCAGGAGGCGGAGCAAGTCCAGCCGGGCCAATGAGAGCACGGAGCGCTGGGTGGTAGTTAAGCGCGCGAGGCTGACGAATGGTGGACACGGTTCTGTTCGAGCTTCTACACACGGAGATGGTGGCGGAGCTCTGCACGCACGACCCTGACCTCGACCCCGGCCCCGGGGTGAGCGCCGGGGCCCGGGGCGGGGAGGAGGCGCAGGTCACGGGGTAGAGGTCGCGGGGAGCGCTGAGCGAGCGGCAGCGGCCCGGGTTGAACTTCGGCCCCGCCCCTGCCTTCCTGGGCGATCTGGGGCACTGGCTTCCTCCCCTGTAACGTGGGGTCCCATTCTGGCCGGCCTCGCTGGTTGGTTACTTCGAGAAATGAGCGAGACAGCTCGGGGTAAAGCTCTGGCACTGAATACGCGGGCAGTAGTTACAATAATTACTATTACTGGGTGTGTACTGAGGACTTCTGGGTTGTGACTCTGTCGGTGTGCCTGTTCCTTCCTTTGCAAAATGGGCACCATAAAGAACTAGTGAGAATTTCCTATAAAGGAAACCTAAGTAAAATCGGGGAAAGAAAAGGTATGGCGTGGTAGATTACGGAGGAGAGCATTTCTGAGGAAGAGAAGGGAGGAAGCAAGCCTCAGGGATAAATGGGAGAGAAGCATGCCAGGAAGAGGTGCAGAGCCCTGAGGTAGGAGCATGGTTAGCATTTTGGAAGTTGGTCCTTAAGAAGTACAAACAAGCTCCAACTTTAAAGCTCTTGGTGCAGTATCTAGGACATAATCAACCCTCAACACATGGGAACTCTGGTTGCAAAATCTGTTACCAAGAAGAAAGGGTGGAGGAGAGAGGGGGTGCTTAATAAATGGGGGCTGTGCTCACTTTTTCATTATTCTTACTATGATCGTCATGTATGTGTAAGACATTTTTATTGGCTTAGGTTTTCTTCCCAATTTAGGAGCCCTAGGGAGGGTGTTGCATGTTATGCCAACATAGTGTTTTCAGAGTTCATTCGTTCAACAAACATTAACTAGAACCTGCGAGGTGCCAGGCCCTGCTCTCGGCTCTGGGGATAACTCAGTGAATCATATAAAAGTCCTTGGACTCCTGGAGCTTATGTCGTAGTGGGAGGAGATAGACAAATAAGATAAGTGAGTCTAGTGTGTAGTACATTGGGAAAATGCTATGCGGAAGATAAAGCATGGGAGGAGTATGCATTGGCCTGTGTGTTGGGGATGGAGAGGGTAGGGTTTGCAGCGTCCCAGCAGCCCATCCATCCTGGCTTTCAAACCAGAAACTCAGTAGTCCCCGACACCTGTTGTTTCTCCATCACCTCCAGCCAACCAGGACCTGCCCATTCTGTTGTCTAAATGTTTCACATCTGTCCCCTCGTCTGCCTTGGTCCAGGCTCCCTCCTCTTCGCCCCTGTCCCAGCCTCCTCCCTCATCTTCCAGCTCATTTCACCTGTCATAGCTTCACTGTGTTCACACCTATTAATTCTTCCAATCTTGGCTCAAATGGCCCTCCCTCAGAGAAGCCAACCCTGAGCCCCCAGAAGTTAGGTATCCTTGTTATGTTCAGTTTTTCCTTGGCAGCCTCATCACCCTCAATAAGTGCATATCTGAGCTATGTATCTGTATGACCCTTTGATTCACATCCATCTCCTATGCCAGACTGCGTGTTCTGTGGGCTGGGACCAGGTCTGTGTTGATCACCACATAGTAGACCTTTTGCACATAGTAGGTCCTCTGCATGGATTTATTGAGGAACTGGATACAGCCCCTGTGCTGATGAGAGCAGGAGAATCCATTCAACAGCAACAAATAATGGATTCTCCTGCCTGCTTACAGGTGGAATGGAAGACTGGCCAGAGGAGCCAGGTCAAAGGGCCTTTGTTCTCAAAGCAGGAAAAACTGGGGGGGGGGGCTGGGGTTTCTCCAGCTCAGGGGCTTTGAAGATAAGGGGAGCCTGTGGGCAAAGGAGCGAATTCCTGTGTACTCAGGTAATGAGCTGTTATCTACTGCTAGGCTAGCAGGTGGCCAGGAACAGCCCTGCTTCCCAAGCCTTCTCCCACCCGGGCCCAGTGGGTGCCCTTGCCGCTCCTTCTCAGAGTAAACGCTTGAATCTCCCTTCAGCTCAGAACATTTTCCTTTCCTCTCTTTGATTCTTTTTTGTTAATCCTACCTGAGGATACTTTTTCCATATTTAGAGAGAGTGGAAGGAAGGGAGGGAAGGAGGGAGAGAGAGAAACATCGATGTGAGAGAGACACATCGATTGGTGGCCTCCTGCATGCGCCCCAACTGGGAACTGAACCCACAACCTTTTGGTGTATGGGACTGCTGCAACCAGCTGAGCCACTCGACCAGGGCTCTCTTTGATTATTTCTTCTCCCGCCTTGTTCCACATGTGTCTTTTTGCCACTCAGAGGAATATTAGACTTCCTGGATCACTTACACTTGTCTTACAACTTTTCTGTCATTTTTCCTGCCTCAGGTTTCTTCTGGACAACTGGGAGGCTTTATCTGCCCGACAGATTTGTCTGTTTTTCAGCTCTCATGTTAACAGATGTTTATTTTGGCTACCATCTTTCTCATTTCCAAGAACTTCCCTTTGTCTGATTGTCCCTTCCTCCTAGCGCCCGCGCTGTGTGGTGGCTGCATTGGTGCGACACTGATAAGGCGCTCCGAGGGGTTCCCCTCTGTTCCTGATTATCCCATTTCCTCTCGGGGCTGTTGTGTAAACTCATCTGAGCCTGCGTGGGAGCCCAGACACGCACTGGCTCTGGGCGGGTTCCAGAGGATTCGATGAATGTCTGCCTTGCCTTCCCTGGGAATGATAAACCCCTAATCTCTGAAGAGCTTTTGCAGGGACACAGGCGAAACATCATAAAGTGGGGAACAGGCTGTGACAAAGGCAGGTGCACAGCTTCTGCTTCCTCCCCTGCTCTCTGCTCGCCTGTCGCCTGCCCATCCTCAGCCTGTCCCTCCCCACTTCTTCCCCTCCCTGTCTCATTCCCCAGATCCCACCATGCCCAGTCTCTGCACTTCAGCTGTTACAACTGCCATCAGCCCCATTTCACTGGAGAAACTGAGGCACCGGGCCATGAGCTTGCCCAAGGTCGCACATCCAGTAAGTGGCAGAGCCAGGGTTCAAACCCAGGCAGTCCGAAAAGCACACTGAAGGGAAACAAACTTGTGGAAACCTTTTTGGCCCCCCCACTGACTCTGGCCGCCCCTCCTCAGGGCTGCTGTCCTGACTGCAACCTTCCCATCCGCTCCCTCCCCTGCTTAACTCTTCCTTCAGGTTCAGGGCAGACATGGCTTCCTCGGGCACCCGCCCAGCGATTGTACTGGTTCTTGCGTGCTTCCCGCTAGGACCTTCGCACTAGGGCACAGTTCTGTAGGGGCAGGGGCTGTCCGTGTCATCCTCCATCTGTCCCCAATCAAGACCATTCAGGCAGCATTTGTCACAGGGAAAAACGCACCCTCCTCATCCTGGTCTACAGGGGCCCGCTCCCCTCCCCGCCTCCCATCACTGTCCCTTGTTAGCAGTGGCCTAAGCTACATTCTCCATGCTTTTTCCTGCCGCCTTGCCTTTGTACACACCCTCAAAACGGCCCAGCAGGAAGCTGTGTCGTGACCCACGCCCGGTTCCCACAGGTGGAGCAGAGAGTGGTGGGCAAGGGCCTAGGTGCCAGGTGGCTTGGCAGAGGAGAGGGCACCTTGCTTGGAAATTCAGCTGATCTCTGCTCGGGCCTCCCCACCAGGGGCCCTGGCCACCCACCCATCTGGTCACCTAGGTTTGGGAGACAGACTTGCTCAGGTTTGCAAGACCCAAGGGTGCCCATGGCAAGGTTCACCGTACCCCTCAGCCTGTTTTCGGATGTGAAATACAGCCAACCTTGCGGGTAGGGTTTATGCAAAGAACCCGCACAGTGTACTCCCAAATCCTGACCCTTCACTCAGTCCAGTGTCTGTTTCCTAAGCACCTCCCTCCCAGGTGCCAAAGCCTTTGTTGGCTGCTGAGGGTCAGCCTGGTCCCCACCCTTACACGGCTGTGTCCTCAGTGACAGTGCAGAGTGGCAGGGCTGCGACTGCAAACCTGCCCTGGGACGGGTGATAAGATGGCTTGCAGGAGTCAGGCAGAGGGGACAGTAAGTGGAAGTGCGTGTGGTGTAGGGTGGCAGAGGGTGACAGAGGGATGGCTGGGTCCCAGAAGGCTGTGTGAGGCCTGCTGAGGAGGACTGGACATTATCTAAGCTGGATATAAGCAGAAAAGTCCCATTCACCATGCAGGGGGCTCCATGACAGTGTGGGCCTGGAGAGAAGATTGTCACAGTCATTCTCAAGAGAAGGTGGTGGCTGGAGGGGAGGCAGGGAAGGGTTGGAGAAGTTCAGGCCTGGACACTGCAGCCTTCCAAGGAGCTAGCTGCCTCCCTCCCAGGGTTCTGCATCCACCTCGGCTCTGCCTGATTTTCTCTTAAGTTTGGAGCCTCACACCATAGGCTGACATATTTCTGATGCCCCAACCTGGACCCACCTCTGGATGAAAAAGGGGCCACATACTAAACCTGAGAAGCTCAGGGGAGGCCTGAGAGTAACCACACAGGGTGGTCTGAATATACATGTTCCTAACTAAATGTGAGGCTCGGCAGGTAGTCACATCCCGGGCCCATAGATTTCTTGACAAAGGTCAATTTTTACCTTAAGTGAATCTGTCGTCTTTTTGCATCTAAGATAATATACCTTTGAAATGTCAGAGTAATCTGGTATTTCCAGATTACTGGACCCCCCAGGGCACAGCCACCACACTAGAGCAGAGAGGACGGAACCCCTCATTGTTACCTTGTTCCCCGAATACCATCTCTGTGTATTGTAAATGTTGACTATCCTGTATCCACGAATGTAGAGATGTGTCTCCATTTTACTTTTTATCCAATCCCAGAGATCCCTCCCTTGTTTTCTCCCACCCCCTAAATCTACTACCCATGGATTTCATGTAACCCTCCTTATGCCTCCTCCTTTGACTGTAACGTGTAAGATAAGACAGGAGCATTTTCTCAGCCCCTTGAGAGTCCTTCCTGGCAATTATCAGTTTGGCTCAAATAAACTCATAAAAATTCACTACAGGTTTGGACACTTCTAACATCTGCACCTCCCTCAGTTCTCTCCCCAAGTGAAAATTACAAGTTGGCAGCCCTCCAGCCATGCTATTCCCCTCCCCGTGCCTCGGCCTCTCCCACTGGGAGACCTTGGCCTCCCTCCAGAATGCCACTTGGCTACCACTGCCTTCCCCCAGCACCCGAGGGAACAGCTCTTCCCAGGGTTCTTGGCTGATATTTTGAGACACAGCCATCATAGTTGACTCTTGCAGCCCCCTGCTGGCCAGGCTAGGCCCACGCTTGCTGCCACATGAGCCCTTGGGCAGGTCACCTAGAACTTCTGGGGTGATCCGCAGAGCTGCCTCCTAGGGAGTTGTGCTGCTCTCAGGAAAAACTGACTAGCAGGTGTGATGCTGCATGTGGGGAATATCCCCATTTTTCCTGGAGCAAAGGGGAGCTGGCCCTGTGGGCTGCCGGGGTCTGTGGAGGGACAAAGCCAGCCTGCTGCTCCCCAGGCCTGAGCCTGCCCTGGCCAGGCACTGCTGAACTGGAGAGATGGCTGGTCCCCTTGCTGCTGCTTTACCAGGTGGCTCCCCACTGGAGGTGGCCAAGTGCCCCTGAGTGTCTCTTCCCTGGCCTTCTAGGGACAGAAGATGAACCTGTTGGTCCTGGAGGGCATGGGCTTCCGAGTGGGCCAAGCCCTGGGTGAGAGGTGAGCCAGCTCCTCCTGCGCTTTCCCACCCCACCGGGACCCGAGGTGGGAGGTTGCATTACTCCATGCAGGAACCCAGCCTGGCTCCCCCCCCCATAACACCCTGGGCTCCCCTACCCTGGCCGGGCCTGACCCAAGTGTCTGCCACTGTCCCAGGCTGCCCCGGGAGATGTTGGCCTTCAGGGAGGAGCTGGACGTCCTCAAGTTCCTGTGCAAAGACCTGTGGATGGCCGTGTTCCAAAAGCAGATGGACAGCCTCCGCACCAATCACCAGGTAAGGGCCCAGCAGAGCTGCAGGCAGAGGTGGGACCGAAGCTCCTGAAGGGGACCCCCATGCCAGCAGGCAGGGCCCGGCTTTGCCAGAGTCCGTGAGCCTCCAGGATGGGGCTCCAGAGTCAGCAGACCCCATGGCTGGCAGTCTCGCCTCATACGACACTGCCTGTCTCAGCCTGGTCTGAGTTCCAGTAGCCGTCCACCCTCTGCCACCCCACTGGCTGCTTCTCAGGCCAGGTCCGCAGCTTCTCACCGCAACCCGGGGAGGCTGGTCTGCCTTTTACCCCAGATACCGCACAGCCAGGGGGGCAGGGCCAGCACACCCCTGGGGGACTCCAGGCCCAGGAGGCCTGTGGGCCCTTCTGCAGCTCTGAAGGACAGGGCCATGACTGCAGTGGTGCCTGTTTGTTTTTGTTTTTCAATCCTCACCTGAGGACATTTTCACTGATTTTTAGAGAGAGGGCAAGGGAGAGAGAGAAAGAACCATCGACGTGAGAGAGAAACATTGATGGGTTGCCTTCTGCACGCACCCGACCTGGGCTGTGGATCAGGTATGTGCCCTGACTGGGAATCAAACATGCAACCTTTCTGTGTACAAGACAACACTCTTACCAACTGAGCCACACCAGCCAGGGCTACAGTGGTTTTGAGGGAAGGATCCTTCCAGAGTCCTGGCTTCCCCTCCCCCCACTACAAACGCACAGGCACTGCCTGAGCCCCCACAGCCTCTCCTCTGTCCTCAGGGGACCTACGTCCTACAGGACAACAGCTTCCCCCTGCTCGTCCGGATGGGCTCAGGCCTGCAGTATCTGGAGGAAGCACCTAAGGTAGGAGTGCTGGGCCACACCCACGCCTCACTTCTCCTACTTATCCATCCCCCAACACAAGGGAGGCCTCTCCTCAGGCCAAGGGGTGGACCCCACTGTGAAGCCTGACGCCCATCGTGGCCTGGTCCTGAGTGTCGGCCTCCGCTTTTCCCACAATGACCTGTGCTCCCTGCCCCCAGTTCCTGGCCTTCACCTGCGGCCTCCTGTGTGGCACCCTCAGTACCCTGGGCATCAAGAGTCTGGTCACCGCCTCTGTGGCAGCTCTGCCAGCCTGTGAGTCGTGGGGGTGGGGGGATCTCCACCATCCCTGAGTGTGGTGGGGACTCCAGAGCTCCCCTGTCCTTACTCCCTTGGGCTAGGCCACTGAGCTCCATTTTTCAGGTAGGAAATTTGAGGCCCCAGGAGCTTAAGTCACATGCCAGGCCACATAGCAGGTACGGCCCACCTATGCCCCTGGCCCCTGAGGTCCCCCAGCCTGCTTCCTGGATGTGTGCCAGGCCAGAAAGCACCCCATGATGACCTGGTCTAGTGGCTTCGACCGTTCTTCCCAGCAAGGAACCCAGCAGATATAAAAGTCACCCGGATGGAGGCTCCAAAGGCAGCCAGACCCCATGGAGCTTGCAGCCTGTGGGGTGGGCTGTTCTGACCCCCAGGGCCCTCCATCAGGCAGGCTGCAGCCCATTCCTACCTGGGGGCAGCCTGCACCCAACCCTCCATTCTCCCTCCCCCATTCTCCCTCAACCATGTGTGTGGGCCTGCAGGAGGGGGACTGATCCAGCCCTGCCTCTAAGAAGTTTAGGGGCCCACCCTGTCAGGCTCCCAGTCCCACCCATGGCTGGGCCCTGGGGCCCACGTGGTTAGGGCCTGGGCAATACATGCCATAGAAGCCTGTGCCAGGCCCTTCCCCACATGCTTGGCCTTTGTACCTTAGTCACACATAGCCCTGGGACGCAGGCTAGGTAGGTGGGAACATCGCCCACTTTGCACAGTGACGCCACCCAGTCTGCTGGTGCAAGGCCTGTTCTGTTCAGGTGCTTTCTGCCTCTCCCCTCAGATCCCAGCCTCAGGCTAAAGCCAGCTCTTCTCTTCTAGGTAAGTTCCAGGTGGTGATCCAGAGATTCTGAGGAGCCCCAGGCCCCCAGCCCCAGCTGAGTCTCACAGCTGCCCGGGCCCACGAACCCCGCCGGGCCACTGCTAGGGAATCCCAGGCTCTGGCAGTGACAAGCAAGGCAGGGGGTCCAGTCACTTCAGGGCATCATACATGCTCAACAAATGGATGTCACAAGGAGGTCGGGGGTATCGCAGGGCAGGGTGATCCCAGCCACCATCGGGCCTGGTATGGAGAGATCCCATTAGACACCTCACTCACGGCAGATGCTCAATAAAGGTTCCGTGTGTGGAGACAAGTTCAAGTGGAAGATTGGGGTCACTCTCTGAGCTCTGGGGGGACAAGAGAGTCTGTAAAGTGACTGTGTCACAGGGCCTGTGGCAGGAGGGGGGGCAGAACATCCTGTGTGGCTCCCCACCCCTCATCACCTCCCTTTCTGGGCCCCCTTTTACCCCAGTGAGTCCTGGAGCTTCTATGTCTGTTATGGGAGGGTGGCCCCAGCCCGGCAACCCCACCAGTGTCAGCAAGTGTGGGGCTGCCCTCTGCCCAGTGAGCCCAGAGCATGGACCTCTCCCTGGAGAGCAGGGTCAGGGGCACCCGGAGGGCAGGTGGCCAAGAGTGGGAATGGATGGAAGTGGGGGCAGGCCAGACACCCTCATTCCCCCCCCACACACACAGTACACGCTTCACATGCCTGGCAGACTCCAGTCATACCCAGGACAGTGGCCCTGGCTCTGCCTCCCTTCCCTGTCTTCCCCATTTACATTCATAACACTGGCAGCATCAGGCACCTGGGTTGCCCAGGCCTTGCCACCTGCTGCCCAATGTGGTTAAGTACCTCCACCTCAGAGCTGCCAACAGAGGCTGGGTGAGACCCAAATGGAACAAGGAAGGGTTTCCTTGCTTAAAACACCCCAGAACGTGGGGCCCCTCCACCCCTATAGAGTCCAGTGCAGAGACGCGGCCTGCCCTCCCCAGCCCACAAGCTGAGCACCACATTCCCTGGCCTGCTTTTGCCTTTGCACATGCCATTCCCTGCCCAGGCTGCCCTGCCTTCAGCCACCTCCAAACTCCTGTTCCCTTGTGGGTATCCAGTAGCCACCAGGCCTCTTGGAACAGTCACCAACCCTCCCTCCCAGGTAGACTCCTAGATGGCCCACCCAGTCGTGTTTGTGCCGGCCCTGCCCAGCACAGAGCCTGGCGGGTGCTCCCGGGTGAATCATAATTACTCAGCTAAACCATGTGTGTGGGCCTGCAGGAGGGGGACTGATCCAGCCCTGCCTCTAAGAAGTTTAGGGGCCCACCCTGGAGGTTCCCCCACAGACTCACCCCCTATCCGGACCGAGTCCAGAATTGGTGGAGGACAGGGAGGAAACCCTCCAGGAGAAGCAACTGGAAGGCCTGGGGGAGGAGAGAGCCAAGCTCAGGCTCCTCTCTGTCCCGAACGCCCTTGTCCTGGGCACTGTTCCGTGGTTGCCGCCCCCAGCCCCATCAGGTCACCCATCTCCCCGGGCAGCCACTGTCTGATGGTGCAGGAAGCAGGACCCTGGAGAGCAGAGAGCACCCATGGCATCAGGCCCCTTGCCCAGCCCCAGCCGTGTCCCTGAAAGAATGTCTCTAAGGAGCCCCCATCTACCAGCAGGCAGGAGGCAGAGCCTGAGCACAAACCACTGAGCCTGCTTTCAAGATCCCACCCTGCCTCCGTGTGACCCTGCGAGGGACCATGGAGGGCATCATGCCCCCCTCCAGGGCGTGATGAGGAAGAATGGGGTTAGCGTATGAGAGGCATGTAGACCGTGTGAGGCCCCTGCTAGGCCTTCATAGCGTGGTGTTGTGGTCATTATATGAGAAGCATTTAGAGCAGCCTGGGAAATGGGTCATTCGGTCCCCAGCATGCTAGCTGCTGTCATCGCTACATACCACGCTCTGCTCAGAGGGCTCCTCCTGACAACCATGAGAGGCAGGCACCAACACTGGCCTGCCCAGCAATGAGGAAGCTCAGGCTCAGAGAGGTGAAGTCACTTGCCCAAGGTCACACAGCTGGGGCCCTTGTGGAACTGGCATCTGAACCAGGGATTGCATCTTGACTTGGCCTGGACCCAATCCCTGCCCCAGCTTCCCTCCCACAGCAGAAGTGCCCTGGGGCTGGCCCCCGTAGACCCTTTGGCAGGTCCCTTCCAGGCAGCACCAAGGCCAGCCATTTCCATCCCTGAACCTCAGGTACAGTGCAGGGGCAGTGCCCCCAGTCCTAGAGAGCAGAGAGCACCTGGCAAGCTGGGGGGAAGGGGAGGGGACTGGGCGGGCAAACCGGTCAGTCAGGCAGCTCAGCTCCCAGCACCGGGCCTCTCACCATTTGGGCCTGCGCTGCTGGTGGCGGGGCTGGCACAGCAGTTTGGTGGCTGGGCAGGGAGCTGGGGCCTGGAGGCCGAGGCTGCCATCAGGTAAGGGGGACCCAAGGTTGGGGGGCAGTGGGCAGGGGCCACACACCTGGCCCCCAACCCTCACTGAGCCCCAACTCTCACCACTCCAATTTCTTCAGCCCTGGGCTTTACTAGCCCTCTCCCCCCAGACAGTATCCCTCCCTCCCTTCTGTTTTTGGTGCCTCACATTTTAAACCCAGGGTATTCATCTCATCCTGAGCTTGCTGAGACCCAAATGGAACCACCCACTTTCTTTTGCTCCCCAGAATTCCCCTCCCTTCAGCCCCCTATTCAGTCTCCAAATGGACCCAGCCCTGAGAGTCAGCCATTCAGTGCTCCCTGCCCCCCAGCCCTCAGCACACTGGGTTCATGCCCTTCAAACAGCATCAGCCCCTGCCTCCCACAGCACGCACCCCTGGTGCCTAGTTCCCCCTGATTTTCCTCAGCCACCCACCCACCCACCAGCTGTTTCCGCAGCCCACATCTGTTCAGCAACCCATAGCCCTGGTCTCTTGGAAACTCCCACGGACTCCCAAACACCCAATCACCTTGGAAATCTCGCCAACCCCAAATTAGCACCCCCAGCTTCTCCCCATCTTCCAACATCTGGCCATTTCTCCTGGGCCTGACCTCTCATTTTTACTCTGAAGAGCACCTCTGGGTGACTTGGGACCCGACGTCTGGGATGGGGTCTCTCACCTGTCCTAGGTCACAGGCAGCTGATCTGGAAGTGGGCTCCTGCTGCTGATGCCTCAGGGGGCTGGGCACTGAGCCCATCATCTCCATCCTGGAGTGGGCCCCCAGCCGCCATGCACCAGAACTATACTATCCACTTTGCCAAGGGCACCCTGCCCCACCAGAACCCCACCGAGAGCTACTTCCTGGACCCAGAGTTGGGGCACCAAAAAGGTAGGGGTTCAGTTTGGAGGGGGGTTCTGGTGTGTGAGTGGGGGGCTGCAGGGTGGATGGTGGAGCAGCAGAAGCGCAGGCCCCGGGAGAGAAGTCACCAGCACTCCCTGGCGAGGCTTTGGCAGTTGGGACCATGCGGGACCACAGACCCGGGGACCAAAGCTGGGAGCCTGGGCTGGGGTTGTCGGCAGAGGAGGCCCACCTGGCCTGCCCCTTCCCCGTGTGGGAAGAATTCTTCCTCCCCAAGTCGCCCGGCCTGTGGGGGCTGCCCCTCAACCTGGTGGGAGCAGTGTGGTGGGAGGGAGGGATAGGAAAGCGACCCCCGCAACTGAGTGTGTATGAATGAGGTAGGGGCCAGCTTCCCAGGGTGACCTGCACCTCCCAGGGCAGCCCCATTGGTACCAGCCTGGCCGGAGACTGGATGTAGGCCCCCGAGCCCCATCCCTGCCCTGTCCCCTCTCCACGGCCATCTCCCATCACTCTGGCCTCCTCTGGACCAACCAGGCCAGCTCCCCATGGATTCCTATGTCACCTCACTGGAGGACCCCTAGGGACCAAGGAATTTGGGGTGGCAGGGACTCTGGGTATCATCCCTCTCCAGTCCCTCCCCCAGCTAAAGCCCAGGCCCCTGTACCTCTCCCTGCCCCACCCATGGTCCTCATTGTCTCTCTGACTCCTGGGCCTTAGCTGAGGGTCAACCCCAGCCTCCATCTGAAGACCCAACCTGGTTCCTGCCAGTGGCCCCAGGTGTCAGGGACCCAGGCCCAGTCACCCCCACTTCCTTCCTTTCAGGATGCTGTCACCAGTGGTACCATGACCCAGCGGCCCCTCGAGCCCACAGGCCCTGTCAGCCACCCCCCCAGGTGCGGTGGCAGCTAGCCTACCACAGCCCCCATGGGGGTGTCGGGGGCTATTGTTGGGGGCACCAGCCCCCTATCCTACAGCAACAGCAGCAGCGGCAGTCCCAGCCCCTACCTCCTAGCCCCCTGCGGCAGCGTTTTTGCCCTGTTTCCGGTGCCCAGAAGGGGCCACCTACAACCACCACTGCCCTCATGGGACCAGCCAGCGCCCCCCAGCTGCCCCCTGCACCCACCAAGGCACCCGTCATGGCCAGCAGCGGCCCAGCCCTGCCCTCCGCAACCGGCTTCCAGGAGCCCAGCAGGCCCACTGACGCCGGGCCCCTGCCTTCCCCCGCAGCCTGCGGGCCCTTCGCCTCCTACAGCTCTGGTGCTCACCCAGCCTCCCTGGAGCTCTGTCCCTGCTGCCTCGCTTCTGCCCGGGCCTGGAGCCTGTCCCCATCCCTCCCTGGGGCCCCTGTCTGAGAGGGCGCTTGTCCCTGACCCTGGGCCTCGGGGTGGCCACTCTGCTTCATCTGTTGGGATCCAAGGCTTCCAGGCAGGGCCTGTCCATGGTGCCTCCATCCTGGGCTGGCCAGGGGCCTGAGCTGACTCCCTTGCTTTGCTTTCTGTCTCACTGGCCCAACAGGCCACAGGGGCATGGGCAGGGTGCCGAGCACCAGCTTGCTGGCAGCTCTGGTGTGGGGAACATGGTCAAGTGAGCGGCTGCAGCAAGAGGTAGGGAGTGGCCTGGGGGATGGAGAGAGCAATGCAGCGATGGGCGGAATCCATCCATCCATCCATTCATTCATTCACTCGCTGACTAGGTATTAACCGCCTACAGAGGGTGCGAGGCTCTGTTCTGGGGGGCGGGCAAAGGGAGCAGGGCAGACAATCCGCTGCCCTCCCACAGCTCAAGTTCTACAAGTGTTTGGGGGAGGCCGGTACAGGAAACGAGAAATAGGAAAGTTCAAAGGTGCGTCACTGCACTCGGGGAAAATACAGCAGGGAGGGGAGCTGGAGAACATCCAGGTTTTCAAATTAAATAGTGTCATCATGAAGGCAACATTTGACCAAAGATGGGGCAGTTCTCTTAAGTAAGTGGCAGCAGGATCAGCAAATGCAGACTCGGGGGGACAGCGAGGAGGTCAGTGTGCCTGCAGCACAGGCAGTGAGGGGAAAGGGCGGGTGGATCGATGGGTGGAAGGGATGGCAGCTGACTCCGGACCTAACAGGAGAGTGGACTGTGGGAGGCGAGGGCGGATGCAGGAGTCCAGGCCAGAGGTGCTGGTGGCCTGACCTCAGGGAAAGGTGGGGACACACAGCTGGTTTCCAACTCTGGTTAGAAAATAGAGCAACAGCTGAGCAGGGACTGGGACTACAAATCAGGAGCAGCCTTGTGACTGGAGCCTCTGGTCCACGATGCGCAATTCACACACAGACAAGCAGAGGCTGAATGAGGTGAGGTCACCAGCTATCAGGAAGAGGGGCAGCAGATTGGTCCTGGCCACCACCTTGGCCCACTTCGTCGCACATCTTCCTCTGACCCTCCCAGTTGAGCCTGCAGGCCCAGTGTTGGCCCTTGGCAAGGGATGGGGCCTACAGCCCACGGGCCTCTCTGAAAGGCTGGCCTTGCGACTCCCCCCAGCCCTGTGACTGAGCCCTGCCTTTCTGACACCCCTACTCCAGGTGCTTGCGCATGGTGTCAGGACTTAACCCCAAGTCTGTGCCCTCAATGGCCATTCTAGACCATGGCATTGACTGAGGGTCTGTCCCTGGCCAGATCCTTTGGTACCCATGCCCCAGTGTCTCTGTCACTCCCAGAGGCATCACTCTGCCCGGGTCATGCAGAGAAAGATGACAGGGCCAGCACCAAAAGGCAGGTCTGCCTGGGCTCAGGGCAGGATGAGTGACTGTGGGCATGGGGTCATGGAGAGGGAGAGAGGTCAGGGTCAGAGTGGACAGGAAGCTGAGAGGATCTGGTTACAGGGGTCCCGTCCACACTGAAGCCAGGCTACCAGAACTGGCAGGAGCGGACACCCGGAGCACAGAAAGTGGTGTCTTAAGCATCCAAGGGCCATGAGTTCCAAGAAAGGGCCATGGGATTTTCCCAGGGGAGTCATGGGCTGGTGGATTAGCACAGGTCTCTGGGCTAGAGCCAGGGGAGTCTAGCCTCCCTGCCTTTGCCTGGAAAATTTGGAGTCACCTCACCCTGGGCAGCCCTGGAGGAAGGGGCTGCCTGCAGCCACATAACTTCCATCCATCTGAGGTTTGACCTGAGTCATCTCTGGGAGGGGGATACTGGTGCAGGGAGGGGCTGAGTGGGTGCTCTGGAGGGTGGTGATGGTGGGAGGAGGGTGGTGCCCCACCAGACTCATTGACACCCCACCTCTACCCCCTCCCCAACCCTGGCCCCCAGATATTCTGACAGAGGATGATGTCTACTGCAGCTGCCTGGCCAAGACCCTCTGCCATGTGCCTGTGCCTGTGACTGTGGGTTTCTACGCCCCCTTTGGCTGCCGCCTGCACCTGATGCTGGACAAGATCACGGGTGAGGATCCCTCGTGTGTTGGGGGTGAGGGTAGAGGAAATAGAGACTCTGGTCTCTGCCCAGCCCCAGGCTTCCCCAAGATCCACTCATCCCTGAGGCCAGCCTGCCCCAGGCCAGATGCCTATAACTTAGTTTTAACCAGGTTCCTACCCATACCCACAGCCTCTGCCCCCAGATCCCTGCTCCAGTTTCCTCTCTGACCTCCTGGCCTGCCCCCCTCCCCTACCAAACCCACTGCAAGGAATCTTCTTAAAATACATATCTATCCCCATCATTTCCCTGCTCAAAAGCCTTCTATGGCTCCCTAGCACCGTAGGGAGAAAGCCCAGCTTCCTCCTCACTGAGGCTGTAGGCTCTTGCCCCCTAGATCCATCTCTTTTCCTCAGCTCTGGCTCATGGCCTGGTGCCCACAGAGCCCTAACAGATAGGTGTCAACTGAAGTCACGAGCTGAAACCTGGTCAGGATCTGCAGCAGCTTGGACCTGGTTCAAACCCTGCTGGAACTCAGACCCCAGCTCCAATTGTGGCCAAAAGGGCTGGAGGTGACTCACCTTCCTGTACCCAGGCCTGGCAAGCACCTAATAAACAGGCCCAGCTCTGCCCCGTGTTGTCCTGGAGTAACATAGGGTCCTGGGAGAAGAGCAGATTTGGCTATAAGGAAAAAGGATATGACATATGGAGCACCTCCTCTGTGCTAGGTGACTGACACATTCCCATTCATTCATTGACTGACCTCAGAGCAGACAGATCCTGCCCCCAGCCTCTCCTGATCCATCCTTCAAACATTCTCCAGCACTTTCTTGGTTACCAAGACAACCAGGGCACTCCCCTTCAAGGGCTCACAGGCCAGAGAGGTCGACACACCTGTCCCTAGTGACAACTCAAAGTAGGTGAGCCGACTTGGAGGGAGGTGGGGGAGGGAGGAGAGCCAGGGGGCGCCTAATCCAGTCTGGGAATCATAGAGGGCTTCCTGGAGGAGGCAGCGGAGCTGAGAGCTGTAGAAGGAGCAATAAGCCAGGAAAACCAGATCAAGGCTGTACCCTTGCGGCCCAACATTTGTCTTCGTTAGAACCTCGTATCCATTCTTTCACTCTTTCGAGCCCTCCTTGCACTCTCCGTTCCTCTTCCTCCGGGGGCTCTACTTATGTCCACCCCTGACCCTCGCTGGCCTCGCCCTCCGACCTTTCCTGGTCCAAGCCGCAGCCAAGCCTTTCCTCCCACACTGTCCGCGCCAGCCCGGCCGTTTCAGCCCCGCCCACCCTAATATCCAGGCCCCGCCCC